CAAGGAAGTTAATGCACGTATAATAACCGGTATATACATCGATACATTTGCAGAAAAGCCTCTTAAGTCAGCCCAGACAGAATGGAAATGTTTATCCAGACGATGGGCCACAGTAAAGGTCCCCCCCCCTCTAGAACAGAGGACCTATAACACAGCCAGACAACACAATACACACTGTTTCCAATGACAGCTTCCAACACCACTGTTAACACAACTGTGCGGTGCCTGGGTTTTCACTTTATGCTCAGCAAAATGGTCAAACCAGCAAGAGGAGAATTCAGTTACGCTCCATTAAATATTTAATGAACTTCAGATTCAGGGTCTGAGTATTACACAAAACAATTATCCTGATTCTAAATTAAGAGAAATAAAATATCACTCTATTATGTGATGGTATATTGGAAATACTAGTGACATTATGAGCTCAGTCCATCCATCATATGTGACAGGATATCTGTTGATTATTATAAAGCAATGCTTACATGGCTGTATATTTTATAAAGCATTTACACGTGAACTATCCCTACAGTGTTGGTTATGCTACAAAGTGAATGTGAGAGTGAATGAGTGAAATCAGCAGCTACTGTGTTTGTTTCTTGGCGCACAAACTGCTGCACGGACAAGTCACTTGATGTTCTGCCTTGCTGATCTGTCACACATAAAATGTAACGCCACTACACCGAGAAACACTACAGAGACCCACAACAATTTAAACAAAAGGGGTCTTGTGTTTCAGGTGCACTTATAGCCTTGTGAAAAAGACTGCTGCCCACTAAAGTTACTGCTGCGTGTGACACTAAAGACTGAACTGAGCGCTGTATTGGGAGCTGTGTTCCAGGTCCCAGACAGTTTAAGAGGCAATGAAACACTTGTCTAGAGCACATCTCCCTTTCTCATGGAAGGCCCTTTGCACAGCTCCCCACTGGAAACCAGGAAGTCAAGGTGCTTTAACTTATGGCATTATAACTGCTGTGTCATTAAAAACAGGAGCTCTCAAAAATGGTAGCAGCAGGGAGGGAGGGGTACACAGACAGGAAGAAAGAGGAAGACAGGTTGAGATAAAAGCACAAAATGAAATATGGGCATGATTTATTTAACACAGTAATACTTTTGGACTGTTCACAGCACAACTCCCATTTCTGTGGTGGCTATAAATTCACAAATATAAGTTATAGCATGTAAGCCTATGTATATACAATATAATACGGCATGCAATGAGATATGACCTTCTGGGTATGAAGGGTATTTATGTAATGTTTAGGAATGTGTTTTTCAAAAATTGTATCCAAGACTGCTTTGAGAGGTTTAAAAAAGGCAGTTTTCTCTAAATTTCAATAGATCAAAAAGCTTCACTTCTAATTTGATTCTGCCGAGACTTAGAGATGGCAAGTGTTTAGTAAACAACAGTGTGCAGACAGAAATGTCATGGCCTTTAACAAGTGCAAACAGAGAAAGTGTTGCTAAAAACATAGCTTATGGTGAGGAATGTCAACAGTGAACATTTCAAAGCAGGGAATAATTGCTTCAAGTCGACTGTAATTGGTTTGTCTTTAATCTGCCCTCTCTCCGCCGCTCCCATTTTACAGTTACCAATTAAACACAGTTGTTACTTTTGTTAGTGCTCTTTCTGTAAATACTACAAGTGGAACGATGATCCAGTAAAAACCTTGTTATTTGTTCTTCCACCACCTCTCCCAGTTTTGCTCATGATAATAAGTACCACAGGGATCTTTTTCTTACCACAGTGAAAAAAGTTTGAGCTTTGTGCAGAAACTTCTTTGACCTTTTGCACAGGCTGCTTGCATTTTAGGGCTGCTGAAGCACTTACTGTGCTGTCAACAGCGATGTGTTACTGTGACAACCAATGAATTTGGTTATTTTTTATGCTTTAAACAACGTAATAGAAAGTTTTGTAATACCGCATGGAATAAAAGCCTAAACAAGGGGTGGACAAAATAAATAAAATAAGCAGAAATAGTCAGTCACCAGTAGTTCTATTTTCTAATGGTCTGTCTTTTGACTTCTGTACTGTCAGTGTTCTAATGTGGGTTTCATGACTCAGTTAAAATAATTGATTATTAGAGGAAAAATCAGTGGATCACCAAAGTCATTACAATTTATCCTCAAGGGACCTTTAATATCTGTAGCACATCTAGTAGTAGTTTGATTTAACTCTGGACCACAAATGTGTGCCCCTGCTGGATGGCAGTTTTTTTAATTGGTGATTCATTATTTTGACTCGGAAAAAAGGTTTCATCCATTTTCCACACTTTGAAAGTATCTTGAGTATATACATATATAAATGGTAATAAATACATTTTGAAAGAGAAATAACATTTTACAACCCCATGAGACCTCTGCAGTTTGAGAAAAAACATAACTACAAAAACATACAGTATGAGACCTTAGCTCAACTTTTCACGTCATCAACCAAAGATTTATGATTTCAAAGACTATTTTAGAAAGATTATAAATGACACAGATGTTCTGTGTTAAATTAAACATAACGTCTGTGTTCATTCAATTTTCTGAGACAAACAACATGCAAATGGTTATCTCAAAATGAAGAATGAATATCACTAATGAGCCCTTCATTACCTTTTTGGCTCCTGTGTGTTTGCAGCATTTCACCAGGGCAGAGTATATAAGGCTTACAGGAGTACCAGATGGCACAGGCACCTCTGAAAAAGTGACCTCACACCCTTTCCCACTGATAGGGTGATAAAGGCATACAAGCTCCCCCCTGGGCCAAAAACGCAAGCCTCCAAGGAACTGAGTCCAGGTCTGGAAGCCCTCCGAGCCAGGTGTGAGGGGCCCAGAGAGGGGCCTGACCCCAGCCAGGCAGACCCAGAAAATCCCCACATCACTGAGGGAGCACTAACTGGCCACAGACACCTCCAGGGCTTTGAGAAGACGGAATGAAAAAGTGAGGAAAAAGAAAAAAGTGAGATGGTGTAGATTGCTGGGAGAGCTGCATGAACTACCATTTACAATGACGGCAATGTTCCAGAGAGCTAAGGCTGGGAACCTGTTCCTGTAAAATGCTTGCAGACTGGTGTGCACGTGTGCCTTTTTCATCTACAAAAAGACCCATAAGATTGATTTTTATTCTTGAAAGAGAGCAAGATTGTTTTGTCGGGAGATTTTTAATGCAGACCAGACGGATGGGTTCAAGGCTGCATTCCTATTTCTTTTTTTTTCCTTGTACTGGCCTCAACTTGAAAGACATTGCAGCAAAAAAAAACCCACATTAGAAGTGATCAATGTCTGATACCAAAGCAATTACGGTTGTTGGTTCCCTCTCTGTTTCTCTCCCTCTCGCTGCACGTGTGAAAATTTCAGGCATCTAATTTACTCCCCTCCTGGGAATCCTTATGACACGGCTCCTCTTGGAAGTCATCAACAGTAAAGCAGCCAGATCTGTATACATTTCTGACCTGTGCATCTGCGTTCCAGCACATGCTCGACTTGTGTTCTCCCAACACATGGCTCAGGAGGGAGGGTGATCCGCTACAAGCCACATTTCCTCAGCTGGTCAGGAGAAATTAGGTCAGGAGTTGAAACAGGTTAAAGGGGCTTTTGGGAGAGTGGTAGTTTGGTTTAGTTTCTCATGGTGTTGTACGGATACACGAGGGGAAATTGTATCTGCAGAGACGAAGCGATAAATTAGTACATGAAAGAGTAAAGAGAGTTCCAAAGAGACACACTGACACAGATGTTTTGTCGAAATTCTCTGGGAGGTAAAAGGAGAAAAAAAAGGGACAGCACAATAAGGAGGAGTGAAAAGATATGAGAAGTGGTCCCATCATTCACAGCGCAATGACACTAACAACTCTTACATGTGGTCAACTCTGAAGTTTCCAAAAGCCTGTCGTTCTCATCCTCTGCCTTGTTTTGGCCATTTACCCTGTGTGATTTATCCGCCTGAGTCAGAGACCAGGCCAAGTTCAGATGAAGAATTAAACATTCAAGTTCGGAGCCGACAGAAATACTCCAGGCAGGGGTCATGTTCATGTTTATAACTTGCCAAGGGGGGGGCAACATTGGTACTTTGTCACAGACATCCACCCTTTTGCTGTTTGATTTTTTTCAATAACAGAAAAGGTCAACAATGAGTAGGTTGGAAAATTAGAGAGCAAGCATTTAGGAACATGCAGGATCTAATTGAATAAACATGAAGGGGGAGGGGTGACATCTGACTGAAATGTGCACTCGAATTATGAAGGTCAAGAACACTGTGACTCTTTTTAGCGAGGCTTAATGAAGAAATAACAAAAGGGGTGTCTGAATCTTTTTTTTATCACAAAAGCTGGATCCAAGTTTTGGGTTTGTGTTTACAGTAAATAAAAAGATTATTAACTAATAAAGCCCTGACGTACTGGCTCGGGTCAATTAACAGAAGTGCAACTAATGTTCATGAAAAAATGAGAGAACACACCAGGAAAAATAAACATGGAGAAGAAGAAAAAAAAGAGAGGAGGGGAAATTAGTTTTATGATCTGCAATATCCTGCCAGAACTTTTATTGGCCACTTAAGCATGTGTGACCTGCCCCCTCACAGCAAGCTGTTAAATGGTTGTGACCTTGCAGCGAGTGTTATGAACCCCTCGGTCCTCTAGTATCCCCAAAACATGCTGCCCCTGCCCCTCCCTCGACCTGAACACATATGATCTTTCACCTTACCGACACGGGAGAGATAAATCACCCAGCTGCTCCACTTGGCCAAACTTCCACATTATCTGTGGCACACATTTTGAGTTTGTTTATATGCCTTAAGTGTGTGAGTGTGAGAAGGTCATCAAGCAGAATCATCAATTTACATGGCGTATGTAAACACATGTGGTTCTGGATAGGTTTATGGAAAGAAACGTGTTACAGGATTGATTAATAACATCCTCGATTAGCCTGCGTTATAAATTGAGGTGTGAGAAAGTAGAGATGAAGAAAAGTGTGCTGTGAGTTTGTTGAAGAAAAGCCGTGCTGTTCTGCAGTGGACGTACCCCTGAGGATGTAATTCTGGTAGTTCTGGTCAGCTTCAGCTCCGACTTTTATCAAACACGTGAGTCCTTCTGCCACCACAAACTCGTGCACCAGGTCCTTATCATCCTGGAAAGAGGTCAAGGAGAAAGAGGAAAATATTCAAGAGCCATCACAGACAGAGCCAGGGACTATATTGTTTTTATTATTGTTTTTTTTTATTCAGCTGTAGCTACTGTAAGTGCAATGAGTAATGCAATCTGCTTGCATTCAGAAGGGTTCATGTTGATTTGGCCTCCCCGCCTCATCCCACATTTTGTCCTCGATGACAAAACCACCTGAATCTCTCACACCTGTCGATGACTCTACATGCACACGACACTACTGCAATGTAGAAAAGTAATACAGATATCAGGCCAAGTGGACACGCTACTAGACAACAAGAATCATAAACATTCTTTACAACTGAAACAACGCAAAGCCACTCACAGAGTAAAAAGTGAGCTATTCTAATCTATTTTGGGCCTGCATCTGGGTCTGTTGCTCTCTTTTCCATCTAACTGTCGGTTAACCCTCCCCCTCTATGGCCGACTGCCCACCAGGCCAGCCCAGCCCAGCCCAGTGTGTGAAGTATGACCAGACCTGAACACTCCACAGCTGCCACGAAGGCAGACTCTCAGCAGCACAACTCCGCCTCAAGAAAACAATGCTGTGTCCAAGTGTGAGTGTGCATGTGGGCACTGATGCATGTGTGCACGCTACATATAGTTGCACTTTAATGTGTGTACATGCACGGGAATATTTAAAGCCCCGGAGCACAGCAGAAGATACTTCACATGCTGACGAATGCTGCAATTTTGGAAAATTCCTTAGATCACACAAAATACAGCAGTTTTATAAAAAGATATATTCTTACGGTTCTGGCACAAGCAAAAAGAGAAATAATTACCTGAAAAATCTGCTTGAGGGAAAAGAGGGCTCTCCGTAGCTCTCGTCCAGTTGAGTTGTAGAGTTTTTCTGTGTGGAGAGAAAAAAGGAGAGAGTGGAAAAATCAGCCAGTCACACATGTGGCATCTTTCTATGACACTGTCATAAAATGAGTGAATAAAACAAATTGACATATGATTCAGAATCATTGTGATTTCTCTTAAAAAACAAGAGTGTTTATCTACTATTGTTTTAGTGTATCATGTCAATGATGAACTGCGAATGCCTCCTTCAAAATCACTTCCTTGTGTCTACTTAATGCACATATCATTGGCAGCAATTATCCCAAGTAGCTAAATGTGAAAAATATCCTGCAAGAGGAATAGTGAGAGCAAAGGAACAGTAGGAGCAACTCAGAGCACATCTGTGGAGAGTTAGTGAACAGTGGATGTTTCCTGCTGACAAAGCCATATCTGTAGCTTACCAAAATACAAAGTCATGGCAGAAACTTGAGCCAATAGCCACCACAATGGCAAAGAAACAATACACCCATTAATCAGTTATGGAAACGCCACAGAGGAATAAAGGAGACATATGACGGCTGACAAATGCTTGTGATGGAGGCGAACATTTCCTGCAACTACTCTGACAATCCTTCACCCTGCATGCAGTCTGCCAGGGAGTGGCAGCATTGAGCACAATTCCTGTAGCTCACTCATCACTGCTGAGTGAACTCTCTCTGACTCAGCAAAACCTTCCTGTTAATGCTGCAGATACAGCAACATACAGCACAGTCCCGTCCAGTGCAGTGCCGTACAGCTTCTGCTTCTCTCTCAACATTGTCTTTTTTTTCACCCATTGCTTTTTATTGTGTTGCAAAATGCCTCTTTTGTCTGTCTTTGCCTTTCTTGCTTTTAAGGCATGATGATATGTCTAATCAGCAAAGATCAGACAGGAGACTGTCATGCACACAAGTAGGCATGAAAACAGGGATTTGTTGTTTCTCTCCTTCTCTCTCTCTGTCTCTCGCTCTCTCTCGCTCTCTCTCTCTCACACACACACACACACACGCACAAACTGACCCTACATAAAGCACTATACGGCCCAGACACTGCAATGTGTCTGGACTGTATGTTGACTTATGTGTTTCAGTTAGAACCCGAATACCAAAACATGCAATTGATGAAAGGAAATTAAAGTAGACACAATGAAGATGTTGCCTTGTCATAGACATACACACACAAACACGCAAATGAGTTGTGCCCACAATCTCCTTGTCTTTACAAAGAGCTGGCACTAATTATATTCAAAGGTGTGAGAAACACACCAATGAGTGTATACACTTGGGATTCTGTCCCTTAAGCTGATAAACTGAGAGAGAGAGAGAGAGAAATACACACACAATACACAGTTATTAAAAAAGTAAATAAATAACAGTTCAATCAAACTTTGGTTTACGTTTCTGTATCATATTTCTGGGTTAGAACTTGCTGCCATGTTCCAGGAAATGTCATTGCAGGGTAAGGTTGTCCACAGCAGTGTAACTCACACTTCATATTATTGGTATACTCCACTCTACTGCAGACAGACAAGACACTGGAGATGCAGCTGTAATGCAGACAGCCCAGGACTGGGCCATATGTGGTTAAAAGGCTCCCATTTGATGAGGTTGCCCACTGAAATCCAACACCTCACAATTCAGTTCCAGCAGAGTTCCTTATCTTTACAAGACGTCTTGTTTTTAATTTATGATTCTAATGGTATTTGGTATGAGTGGAGCAGGGTTTTAGATGTTTTGCGCATTCAGTGCCGTACATGGCTGAGATATGATGAGTAGATGAGTATTGGGCTTTTACGGAAGAGTCCTGGCCAGTCACTGGCAACAACATCCACAAGAAATAAATCTCTACCGGTCCAGCGGTATTAAGAGGGGTGGTTGTGCAATGTTGGTGATTTGTGTCTTTATAAATAACAGGAAGGAAATGTGACCTGGCCTTTTTGCCCCCCCCCCAGCTGCGGAACTCCCAGCCTGAGCACCTCAGGGGTTGCCAAGTCACCATCATTTTTTAAATCTCCTCTCAAAACCTGACACATCTTGTAGTTTATATATTTAGTCTGAGCTTCATGCAGCTGGCACTAACTGAAGCCCATTATAATGATTCTCCCATGGACAAAGTAAGGGCTCAAATTTGTGGTTGACTCCACATCACATATAAAGGATCCAAAGCATTTTAACAACTGCACCCTCCCCTGCAGGTCAAGGTAAGACCACATCCATTGCCCTGTACCTCAGGAAGATGACTCATTTAGATTAGTGATGTCTAAACAAAGAAGCTCTCTGATCAGTGGAGCAGAGAGACAGGGGGTTACTCATCACACCTTAAGCTTACAAAGCAAACTTGATTTGTGGTCCTACTTAAAACCCAACTCTTGAATCTGTGTGCTTTTCTTCCTCTCAAATTCTTAATTGCACTTCCTCACAGACATTGAATGTTAATCAGTGAGTCAACAGTTAAATTACACCCAGCACGGCTGACACACCAATGATAATTCTGCCCATAGCACTACGACAGTGATGCATGAGCACCTGGGCTGCCACTGGATTAAAATAAATCCTAGGACCATGTTTTGGGTGTGTGTGTGTCCATCAGCAAAAGCATGGCAGAGAAATTCTTCCACGCAGAGATCCAGTGCCATTCGCACAAAGGCTTGTGCTCCTCTACTTAGCCCTGTAGTTTGGACTGCAATAAAACTGTCAGAAAGTTATTCCTTCCTGACACTAAATGAAGCCCATCTGCAGGAACAGACAGTTCCTTCCCTGTCCCTGTCCGCAGTCCACATACACCAATGCACCTCCAAGAGGCCCATCTCTAATGAGAAATAGCTCAGTGGAGATTAGTTCCATACCATTTGGCACAGATATGCACCCAAAAGTATGGGCCTTCTGCATTTCCCTATTTAGGAAAATAACCTAGGCACTCATTTATTCAAAGGAAACAGAAAACTCTCATTGCTGCATTCACCTGAAAAAAACCTAAAACTTTAAACTAAATAGATCACTACATTTGTCATGAATTTAATATTTAGCCTTGGCAAGCATAGGGCCAGAAGAACAAAGGAATATATGATGGATAACACATAGATTGGGCGACAGACATTCTGAGCTCTAGATGATGCTTCTTTCAATTCTGACTGGAGATGAGCCATAATTCAGATACGATAACAACACAAACAAATTGCAGCAACCAAGTTGCTCTTCAGCATGAGGGCAACTTGGTTGCTTGACATACTTATTTAATGTCAATTAAAGTAAATGAGTTAGCACTCTGCCATCTACCCATGTTGCAAATTACTCTTCATACCACAAAACAAGACACCCTTAACATTAAAACAATAGCGGGGTGCAGCTGAGGACAAGCA